GGGTTTCAAAAAACATATAATATTCAAAACTTATTCACTAATGGTGTTTAAAAACGTTTAACTGTGTCTAACACAATGTTCAAATGGCAAATTTCGCAAATTTAACGGAATAACTACTATGAAAAGCCAAAAATCCTAAAACAGTAGCTTTGCTCTGATTCAGAGCCAGAGCAGCGAAGGTGGGGGCCGTTTCCCCTGACAACGGCAGCAGATAGTGCGACGCACACACGCACAGGCAGAAAGATACAGAAGAATAACTTTCAAGATTACTTTGTTAAGCGAATATAACTTATGTTGTTCTTTATACTTTTGTCATCCAAGTCTAGAAATGGCCACTTTCCACACTTGTAACAAAAGGCACTAGTGTTTAACGTTTACGCTTCTATTTTATCGAGGTAGCTAATTTAAACTCAAAATCTCTTTCTAAAAAACAAAAACAACTGTTGGATACAGCCCTCTCATAGCTTAACTGTAGATACAACTCGGCAAAAAAATGTAAATAACTCACGAAAGCTCTCATAGCTCAACTTTAGATAAAACTCTGCATTCTCAGGTGAACTCTGTTCACGCCGAAAACAAAAACTCCCTTTTTCTGTATGTAATTTAAACCGTGATCACTGAAATATTGTCGTTTCTTTACTTTTGTCATTTATCAGCCTGAAATTCGTCAATTTCAAAGCTTTTGTAACAAAGGCCTCCTTAACACGTTTCCCTTTTTAAAAATTGCTTTTACTTTTATACCATGGTTTTACTAAGGGACTCTAACCCTGAAGCTTCTTCTCAAAGGGACTTTAACCCCGAAGCCGCGCATTCTCCACCAAATCTGTTAGGATTTAAGCAGACAGAGACGGATCGTGGTGTGCCAAACTCTGGAAGTTTATTTAAGTTGCTCTCAAGTTCCACTGGTTTACTCTGTTTCCTTCCCTCAGACAGAATAAAGGCAGTACATAGTTTATATAGTCATTGTCACGTCACACATCGAAAGACATACGTGTCACAAAGAGACAGTCAAATCATAGTCATAACATGGAGTCCTTGTAGAGTCCTTGTACAGTCCTGCACGTAGGCCATATTGCTATCTAATACTAACAGGTCTAAAACCAGACTGGAACATATCAAAAGAGTGATTGATTATTAAAAATTCTGTAAGTTGTTGATAGACAACTTTTTCTAGAATTTTACCCATGAAAGGCAGATTTGAAATGGGCCGATAACTTTTAAGTGCCAAGGCATCCAGACTCCTCTTTTTTAGGAGGGGTCTGATGACTGCCGTTTTCAGGGCCATTGGGAATGTTCCAGATTCAAAAGACATATTTACTATATGCGTGAGTGAAGGTAAAAGACTGCTCAGAACAGATTTAAGAAATCTAGGAGGTAATACATCCAGGCTACATGTAGAAGAACTCAGACTTGTAATAATCATTCGGACAGTTTCATTTTGTACTGGTGTAAAGTGTGTCAGCCCAAAAAGCTTCACTGGCTGTTGGATTGTAATTTCTACTGTGGAGGTGATGGCATTTTTGATGCCTTGGACTTTGTCATTAAAAAACTCTGCAAACTCATTACATTTGGTTTTGGAGGTAAGCTCTGATGGCATCTTAACAGGGGGATTTGTCAATTTATTTACTGTTGAGAACAGAACGCGTAGATTGTTACTGCAACCTTCGATTGTTTCGGAAAAATCGAAGGTTGCAGTAACGGTGTGCTCGTTCTACGTAGCACACTGTTGAACTTGCACAATGCATCTTTGAAGATCTCATGGTCAACTTGGAGATTTGACTTTCGCCACTTCCGCTCGGCTCTCCGGCACTCTCTCTTCTGTGCCCTGACAGAGTCTGCTTTTGTCCATGGCGCCTTTTGCTTATTTGTAACAATTTTGACCTTTACAGGAGCAATCGTGTCCAGAACATCCAAAACACTAGAGGTGACAGAGTTAAGTAATTCATCCACAGTAGAACACAACGTGTTATCAAAGTTTATCATCCCCATGAAAAGTTCACCTGTATTTTCGTTTATGTGTCTTCTTCTTCTAACAATTGAGGATTCAGCTCGTGCTTTACTATTGAGACACATATCAAAAAATACACAAAAATGATCTGACAGAGCAACATTGGCCACATTTACATTTGAGATATTAACCCCTTTAGTAATTAGCAGATCAAGAGTGTGTCCTCTGCTATGGGTGGGGCCACTCACATGCTGAGTGAGACCAAAGGTTTCCAGCACAGAGCTCAGCTCTTTCGCGTATCTATCATTAACGTTATCTACATGTATATTAAAATCACCTATGACGACTAAACTATCAGAGTCTGTGCACACAACTGAAAGCAACTCGGTGAAATGATCAGTGAAACTATGACATGACTGTGGCGGCTTGTACACAACAATAATAAGAATAGAAGATTGTTTTTGTTCTATTTTAAAAGAGACATACTCAAATGAGGAAAATTTCCCAAGAGGTACTCTATGGGAGACAATACAATCTTTAAAAACTGCTGCTATGCCTCCTCCTCTTTTATTTTCTCGAATTTCTGATTCAAATTTAAAATTTGGTGGTGTTTCTATTAAAACTGCATTTTCTGTATTATGGTCAAGCCAAGTTTCAGTCATAAACATAAAGTCAAGATCATAAGAACAGATAAAACTATTAATTAAAAAGGATTTATTGCATAGTGATCTGACATTAAGCAGAGCAAGGTTAAAAATAATACCAGTGTCAGTGGGTTTAGTTGATTGATTACAAAGAATTGGAATTAGATTTCCTGAGTTGGACCGTATATATATATATAATATATATATATATATATATATATATATATATATAATGTAGTAGTGCAGAGTTATACATACAGACATAAGGTAAAGTGACATTGTTCTGTGACATTCTGAAGTTGCAGTATTGCACATTGCACAGGATTTAAGAATTTACTTTTTTTACAGATGAATGAAATTTACAGGCTCTGCAGTTCTCATTGTACAGTCTGACAGCAGCAGGAAGGAAAGACCTACGGAACCTGTCCTTCTCCTTTATTTGTTCATGTTTATTAGTAATTATTGTAAGTAAGAAATCTGTCAATTATAAACCTAAAACGACCTACATGCTCGGGCCATTTGGTTGCTTTCTTAGGATAAGATAAGATAGACTATATTGATCTCACACAGGATACATTTACATGTCACATCTGGCATGGATAAAATCACTCAAGGTTGTGCAAAAGAAAGGAATGTGCAAACATGTTAAATGCAGTTTATATATACACAGAATAAAAGTGGCAATTAAAAAGTGGCGATCAAAGAAACAGTGGCAATAATAGTGCAGGTTTTTTAGTCCTAGTGCAAGTTACTTAAAGTCTCACCTCCTCCACAGAGTCCAGGGAGCATCCCAGAGTAGAGCTGGCCCTCCTGACCAGCTTGTTTAGTCTACTCCTGTCCTGCTCTGTGCTGCCCGGGGCCCAGCACACAGCAGCGTAGTCATAAAAAGTCCTGAGCAGAGGCCTGCTCACTCTGAATGACCTCAGCCTCCTCAGAAGGTGGAGGCGGCTTTGGGCCTTCTTGTACAGGGCGTTGGTGTTCAGAGATTTCATGACACTTTGAAGCAACTGTGGTTAAAGTTCTAACTCATCATTCTAACAATATGCACAAGCCAGTACTTTTCCCCAGCATGTTTTGATTTCTGAAGGCCAAGCTACTCGCACTGTGGCAAATGCTGATTGGAGGACTCCATTCCTCCGTGCTGTATATTATCACTTGCAGTCTGTAACATCTTTGTTTGTGCTGTCTCTACCATTGACAATAAAACATGTCTTCTGTCTGAATTAAAGACATGATCCTAGACATTGTGCATCTTATTCAGGTGGTGGAGGATGCAGGCATTGTCTGAAGATCAGCACAATTGGACAATCTGCACAGCCCATGATTCCAATCAGGCCTGCTGTAAGCTATTGAGAATGGACATGCAAATGTGGACTGAATTTGGACTGAATTGGATTGCTGAATCTGGATATTAAAGCTGAAACGTGTGATTGAAAGACACGTCACAGAAGAATTCGTGGTTCGACACGAGAAATCAACAACAGCCTGAAGAAATCAACACGGAAAGTGGGAGAGAATGTTTTCTAAGCAATATCTGAGAACAACCCAATCGACTGATGAAGTCTGGTATCTTACTGAAGATTGTTGACTTCGTTCGTTGTTTCACTATGGGAATCGCCTTGGGCGTGACCATCCATGGAAGCTCCTATGGCAACAGGTCTGTCTTTTGACAGACAGGTTGACAGTACGGAGCACCGCCCACCTATCCTCGCACAGTCAACCTCCTCCTTTTGGGATAATTCTAGCTTTCTTCCCGCGTGGAAACCATAACTTAGCTCCTTCAGCGTTCTCGGACCTTAGGCTAGCCTCTGTTTAACAGTTCACGGACGGAGCCATAAAGATTTTGTTATGGGCGCAGTTGCTGGTGCTTTGGTTCACTCATGCTGGGAAAGTCCTTGCAGTCTTACCGCTAAGCTATTATTACTTGTTACCGGAGCAGTGACCGCGTCAAGGCGAACTGCTCTTGTGTTTATGGGGACAGATCATATTAAGTTGCTGTCTGTCCTGTCATCTTGCGGTTAGCATTCATTTGGGTGGAGTCCTCCTGTTCGAGTGGCTAGTATTAATATACTGGTCAACAGATTGTAGTGTGCGGTCCTGTTAACGTGTTGCGGCAAACAGAATCAGCCTGGACATGATTTTTTTTACTTAAAACCCTGACTTTTCTGGTTCATACAATCGTGTCTTGCTCACTCTAGCTCTTTGCTCTCTGTCAGGCATGTTTATGGCTACCACCCCCGCCAAAGGGTTGGATCCAAAGCCGAAGGAGGCTGCGTCCCGCTCATACCCCGCGTCATGCAGGTCCACCATTTCAGGCAGGGACCCTCATCCGATGCATAACCTGCATGGGCGCTAAACACGCTCAAGCAGCGCCCGCTGACCGCGAGTCCTGCAAGTACTGCGCATCGATGCCTGAAAAATTATTGGAGAGGAGGCTCAGAGTTGCGGTGGCTCATCTTCAGGACCCATTACTGGCGGGGACCACCGATAAGCCCACAGCAGTCACTCAGCAGGCCCGTAAGACAAAACTATGGTCAGATATGCTGAACGATGATGACACTGATATGCCACCATTATTCGAGGACCTCCTTGAAGTGGACCCAGGCGACGAGGGCGCAGACGGCAATGATGCCGCTTCTGACTTCCTTGAGGCTGTGGAAATGGATTATGTGGAGGAGGACTCCACATTTCCAGCGGCCCAGTCCCTACCCTCCAGTGCATCTGAGACTGCGACTCCCGTCGATAGCAATCTAATATGATGTGTGCAAGCGCGCAGCCGCCAAGCTTAACCCTTTAAGCGCCAAAGTCGCAATATTGCGACAAGCAACATTGCTCACTTAAACAGGCTGTATCTGAAAATGTGGTGCAGAATCTTGTTAATACTTTTCACCAGGGGTTAGTGGACATGTGTGCCTGTAATATGAGCAGCATTTGTGGGTGTGGTTATATTGAAAGTTTTAGAGTAAATTGAGTTCGTAAAACACCTGCGGTGCGTAGGCGAAGCAGCAGCGGTAGAGCTGAGAGGAGCGAGAGCAGAGCAGAGGGAGAGAGTGTTTTTTATTTTACTCACGAGGTCTTCAGTACCAGAGAAGTACTTGGTCTGGTACTGGCTCACTCAGATTCAGAGGAGGAAGACACGCAGGTGTCCAGTGAAGCAGACACGGACATTATTTGTGACGGGGAGACCGCGCTCCATAGTCCACAATCAGCCCCTGTACAGCGGCTGCTTGTCCTCCGTGTGGCCGCGGTAGAAGCATACTGTGAACGCCAAGCAGGGGCCGTGGTGGAGGGGACAGGGGGATCATAACACCGGGCATGTGGGAGAAAGTAGCCGGGGTAGACATCCGCGGGGATCGCGGGAGACGCGGGAGAAGCCGCGGGAAAAAGCACATCGCTAATCTCGTTCACTGCCTTTACCAACAGCAATGATGAGGATGAAGGCAGTTCTTGAGAGAAAATAATCCACAAAAGTGGACCAGAAGTGTTGAAGAGCCTGTTGTTTCTTGTTGAGATGATCTGACATGTTCTGTGCCCATTCATTTCATCTCTCTGTTTCTAAACGATAAATCCTGGAGCCTCATTTCCACTGAGAAAAATAGTATGCCCACTACTTCTTTGAAAGGGAAATATTGAAACCAATCTCCAGATTTCATGACTGTAAACTATAAAGAGTGCAGTCTTGATCACTCAAGGTCTTTGAAAATAATAAAATTCCATATGGCTGCGAACCAGTGCTAAAACATTATGTATAATCTGGATCAGGGAATTTATTTCTATCCCAAATTCATTTCATACTAAAGATATTTCACATTGACTGTTTATAGTATTCCCTGATCTCAAATAACTCCCAAGCTACAGCTTTTTGAAGTCTTTATACAATAATTAACATTTTCCAAAATGGCCGCCACCTTGATGATTTCAGAATATGCAAATTAGATGACGAATCAACTTCCATCCCAAAGTTTGGTTCAGACTGAAGATATTTCTAATTTACAGTATGCCTTTATCTCAAACCATTTTAAAGTTATAGCCTTTTGAAATCTTGAAATCAAAATTGTATATTTTCTTGAAAAAACTCTGGCGCCTAAAGGGTTAACATAACCTGGCCAGCCGTTGTAGACGTGGAGGGTGGGGAAAGGGATTTTTATGATGGTAAACTGCTCCAAACAGCGCATCCACCTCAGAAACAACTTCTTTCTGCTGTCAACGCATGCATGAGGGAGGTGGGGAGGTTTAGGAATAACCCACTTAGGAGCAAGCTTCCTGTACGGGGCTATTCAAAGCTGGAGTTCCATGGGATGAAGGAGCTGGGGTTGGCCGAATCCCCAGCGGTGGAGCCTTCGGTGGCTTTTCACCTACATCCCAATCGCCGCACCATGTCAGCCTCAAGTCAGATTTCTCTGCCCACAAAATCAGAGAGGGTTACATCCTCCATTTTGAAACGCATGTACAGATATGCTTCTCAATCTGCATGCGCACTGAATACTGTGACTTTGCTGCCTGGTTATCAAGGGGAACTACTTGAGGAAACGGGACAACAGCTGGACTGCGGGTCTCCTAACCTGGTCCTCTGGGAGGAAATCTGTGTGGTGAATGACCTCAGCCTACACTCTACTCGTGGAGCTGTCCAGGGCTGCGGCCATGTCATGGGACTGGCTGTTGCGGGTGAGAGGGTTCTATGGCTCAATCACTCAGGTCTGACAGATGCTCGGAAGGCGGAAATTATGGACACGGCTTATGACCCTACCAAAGGTCTATTTGTTTTAGCCCTTGAGAAGAGTTAGGAGACCAGTACCCTCCGTAAAGGGGAGGGTGTGGCCTTCAGTCTCTGTCTGCCAAGAAAACAGCCTCCTCGTCCAGCACAGCCCCAGAGAGCGGGCCCCTCTGGAAAGGCGGGCCCCAGGGCCCCGCAGAGGGGAGCACCTCAGCACCCTGGCCAGCATTCTGGCCTGCAGCAACGGTCAAGAAATCCCAGAGCATGGGGCAAGCACTCCTATGCTGCGGTTGCGGCCAAAAACCGCTCTTCTCAGCTCGTGGAGAGCAAAAAGAAGTGTAGCTCCTAGCAATCAAGCTTCTCCACTTAAGGAGGAAAGGAGGAAAATGGACCCTGGATCCAGTTCAGAGGCCCTGCAGTTTTCCAGGCAGTTTTCTCCCCCCTCGCATGTTGCAGGGAATGAGTCATGGATCACAACTTCACAAAACAAATTTTCATATGAAAATAATATTTTCAAACTAGCATCCAGGCCAAGCGCGAGTTATCAATCAAACAAAATAATTAAATTAAGTTTGGATCATTTTCAATAGGGAGCTCACACTCTTTCTCAGGCAGAAGGCTCTGCTCCTCTCAGGGGAGTGACGTCACCAGGGATTCCCTTGGTGCGCGCCCCACTCTCTGTTAGAGCAGAGCAGTGGCGAGCATGCGGAGTCAACCCTCGGGTTCAATCCACTGTTTTTTGAGGTTACACACAGCAATTTTCTATGAAAACACCCTCCTTCAACGGAGTACTTGTTTCAGTGGCTTCAGGGGACGCAGCCCATGTCTTACATGACGAAATTACATCCCATTGTACCAGAGAACGAAGCTCAGCTGGGCTTCTACTCCTGCTATTTTCTGGTTCCAAAGAAGGGCTCTCTGTCACTGCGGCCCATTCTAGACCTCCTTGTTTTGAACACACATCTACGGCGATTCAGAATGTTGACGCAAAAAGTCTTGTGTCGTTCAATACGCAAAGGGGATTGGTTCACCACAATCGATCTTGCGGATGCATATTTCCACATCGAGGTGCATCCAGCGCACAGGAAATTCCTCCGCTTTGCTCACGGGGGGACGAGTACCAGATCCATTCCCTTCGGTCTCTGCCTAGCCCCACGGGTGTTCACCACCTGTGTGGAGGCAGCTCTGGCTCCTCTCTGGGCCAGGGGAATAAGGATATTCTCTTATTTAGACGATTATCTGATATGTGCCAGTTCACGGGACGCTGCAGTGAGAGAGACTGTCACAGTGCTCAGTCACTTGACCAGCCCGGGTTTCAGAATAAACCACGTGAAGAGCCGGTTGGAACCCAGGCAGCAGACTCAATACCTGGGCCTGTGCATAAACTCTGTTTCACATCGAGTCACTCTGACAGAAGAGAGACGGTTGTCTCTCACTCGCTGCTTGGCGCTTTTCAACCCAGGTGCGACAGTCATGTTCAGAACGTGCCTGCGCCTCGCAGGTCTCTTGGTGTCAGTAACATCTGTCGTGCGCCTAGGGCTATTAATGATGGGACCATTTCAACGTTGGATCACAGCGTTGCGCCCCAAACGTCACCTCCACCGCAGAGTGGAGGTGGATTCCCAGTGTGTTATTGCACTACGTCCATGGCGGGAGGCTCATGCACTTTCAGTCGGAGTCTCGCTGGGCGCCGTGTCGTCAAGGGTTACCCTGACAACGGACGCAGACTGACTATGTGCACATGACGGAGCACCAGAAACGGCTCCGTAATGCGCCTGTTTCTCTCACTCTACCTGGACCAAGTAGAGGACCAGGGACGAGACTTGTCCCATGGTGCTGTGCTGACAGTAAGTACTGTTAACTTTAAATGTGTCAATCAAACCCTTCACAAGTCCAGGCTCATTAGTGGCTTCTGGTGTGACAGATTGACAGATGCCTGCACCAAATACGGTACTAGCACTGTACATTGAAAAAATTTACAGGGGTTTTTTGCAGTACCCAGAGCTGCTGGTGGCCTCCTACAACAACAATGAGGACGCAACCCATGAACCAGAGGGAGTGGCTCTTGTCTGGAACATCAAGTTTAAGAAGGCTACTCCAGAGTACATCTTCCACTGCCAGGTACTGCTATTTACTCACACAGCATACTGTGTGCAGTGTTATGGCTGCATGCAGACCATCCGGCATCACGTCTATTGTTGAGATGTAGGATCCATGGCAAACACTAAAAAGAGCTGGTTTTAAAGTTAATTAGGGTCATATTCAGTTGTTGGCGTGACTAAGTGGCGTCCAAAGCCGGGCTGTGGGTTTTTAGTGGGAGCAGGTTCTCCTCAGGACAGGGGCATAAATCTGTGTGTCCCACGCCACATCCTGATTGGGCGCTGTCCCTCATGAGCCGGCCACACACAGTTGATCACATTATAGCATCATAAACATCCTCCACACTCTTCACACTCATCTCATGTGCTGTGAGATTTATGGCTGTGGTCACTCAAGCGGGGAAAGCTTTTTGTACTTTTCCAATAACATCAAATATGAAACAGCACACATCTGCCTTGGCCGATAAATCTGTTTGTTTTTAACTTGAAAACATAATGATCCAGCGACAGAATTCCAATCTGAATGGATTTGAAAATGAATGGATGCAAACAAGAAACATACTGTATAGTATAGATTATTTCAATGTTTACTTAGATTGACAGATCTCACATGGCTACTCAACTTTCAAAGAAATATTAATTTGAATATAATTGTTTGTACTCTTCAGTGGTCTTCATTTGTATTCATATATTTACATTTGTTTTTAATTGTTCCACAAAAGTACACATAAGGCGCCTATATACGTAGCTGATGTGATGGCAAACATTAGTTCAGCTCTGGCATAACTTTAACAACCCAAAGTCAAAACAGTTTTGCAAACCAGGTTGCGGCCGCTGAACAAGCCTGGTTCACTGAAGTGGCCCTCTGCCGCTTTTCCACAGTACCGGTACGGTACGGTAAGGTACGGCGTGGTTATTTTGCATTTCCACTATAGGGTTGGGCTTGGGATAAGGCTACTTTTTTTGTACCACCTCGACAGTGGTTCTGTCCGGGCCTAAGCGATACCTTGACGTGACGTCAGCCGACTGCCTTACACTGATTGCCGTGCCGTACCGTTACTGTGGAAAAGCGGCATTACAGTTCTGGAGATCATCTATTTCTAAAGCTGTATTGATCATTGGATAATAGATTAAAATGACTGGTAAAGTTGTAAAGTCTATTGTCATATAGTTTTTCTAATATTTTGGAAAACTGTGGCAGAAGGGAGATGGGCCGATAATTATTAAAGCAGTGTTTGTTTCCAGTTTTGTATATTGGGATGACTTTTGCTTTTTTCATTTGTGATGGAAAGTGACCGATGTGAAAAGATAAATTGCAGATGAAAGTGAGTGGTTTAATGATTTATTTTGCCATATTCCTTACAGTTCTCATGTCTATATTGCCTATATCTAATGATGTCTTATTATCAAACTTTCTGATAATGCTGAGGACCAGTGGCGAACCATGCATTTCAGACCTGCGCCTGCAGCGAGACCCTGCCAGACTTAATCCACATCTTAAAACCATAATTATGATGTCATGGCTCTACACATTATGAATTTCGACCAAAACGCAGTACAACTGGGCGTTGCATCACCTTAACATATAGTCCTGTACAACAGAGTTATGTTACTCTACTGAGTTTTATTCACTCCACCAACAGTATGAGTTTTAACAAGTTTCATCACAAAACAGCGCAGAGCGCACTGTCAAATCAATTCAATCAACCAATCAATCAAGTCGCAGCCAAAGCAGCGTCACAGAAACATTTGTTAAAATATTTTTTTTACAATAATGTTAACTTAACAAAATAAAGAAAGCTGCAAAAGTCACCAACAAAAATAACTCAATAAGCGTTCATTTGCTCCATTTCTTCCACCACGGGCTCACGCGCCATTATAAATCACACAAAGGCATCATTTCAGAACAAATAATAGGTATAACAAAAGGTATTATACAAAGTTATTATAAGTCCACCGACGCTATAGCGATGGGCAAGTCTGTTCAAACAGCGCATCATCACAGACAAACCAGCAGTGTCAAAGGAACATGTTTGACGCACACACAAACACATACAAATATAATCAAACATAAAATGCCTTGTACTCACTCAGATCAAGATTATTTGAACACATAATCCATCCTTCTTTCTTTCCTCAAGGACACTTCAATGACTCTGTCATACAGTCTATCTTTGCATTTCAGTTCCAGCAATAAGTCCTTTTCTATTGACAAGGAGGCAAATGCTGAAAGCCGACTCTGTCCAGTAGCATTTATGGATCACGATTTGATTCGCTTTAAGGCCGAGAATGACCACTCGACAGATGCAGTGGACACAGGGATGGTCGCTGCCACACACGCCAATGTGTAAAGCTGTGGTATGTCCTCGCTCAGGCGTTTCTCCTTAAGGAAATCGAGCAGTCATTTCATACATTACAGTCAGTTCTGTTTTTAGCTTGGTCAGATCGAACAGTGTTCCATGACTGTCTGTCAAACTGGAGAAAGATGTTTTAGGGAATTTCCTCCTGTAGGCCTGCAAGTTCAGGGCCCATGTTGACTCAAAAAAATAATTATAACACTCTGCAATCATTCTTTTATCACTGATGATGGTGTCCTTCTCCACAAAATACTCTGGGTAATGCAGGCTAGAGCTTCGACCAATCACGGTAATATACGGCAATACTTTCCTAATATCTTTAAAGTGATAGTCTGTAACTCAAAATTAATTGCAAATTTTAGGAAATGTGTTAAATTGACCTCCTGGCCTTAAATTTTGATATAAAATAAGTCATTTTATTAATTCTAATACTACGGGCAAGACCCGCTTTCCCTTCTCTTAGCTATAGCTCAGAATCCATTTTCAACCTGTCGCTAAGTAACTGTACTGTGCCGAACTGCTTTAAAGAGTCGACCATCATTCCAGTTCCTAAGAAAACTCCTGTGACATGCCTGAATGACTATCGTCCTGTGGCCCTCACGTCTGTTCTTATGAAAACTTTTGAGCGGCTTGTGCTGGACTTCATTAAGAGCCCGATCCCTGTGAGTGTTGACCCGCTCCAGTTTGCTTACAGACAGTAGTGTGGAGGATGCCATCTCCTTTGCTCTGAACTCTGTCTACAGTCACTTGGACACTAGTAAATCTGTCGCGAGAATGCTTTTCATCGATTATAGCTCCGCTTTTAACTGCCTTGTCCCAGGTAAACTGATTGAAAAGCTCATGTCCCTCGGTTTAAGTGTTGCCATGTGTAAATGGATTTTTAGCTTTTTAAC